GGGGTCCCCTGCCGCTTTGGACCAGAAAGACTGTCCTCAATCTGGCCTGAGGAACCCAAAGACATCTGGCAGAGCCATCTTGTAGGAGGCCTGCTCATCTCTGCGGGCTCAGAGGGAGCCAAAGCAGTGGGTGGGGAGGAGAAATTCTAGGGGAGCAGAAGGCCAGGGCTTATAACGGGTTGGTCTCTTTATGACTTGATGGTGTCTCCGTCATTGGACTCTGAACTGTTCGTGAGAAAAGGTGGAGCAGGGAGATTTTCCACCCGTAAATGGCCCGCTGGCTCATCGGCAGCTGGCCATGTGATCCTCAGAAAAGTTGAGGGTTGCGGGAGTGTAAAAAGTGCAACTAAGAGCCAGTGTGCAGCTTAAAGCCCGTGTTGAAAACGAAGGACGTGGTGAGCAAGGAGAATCGTGCAGCCGGTCAGTGGCAAAAGAAGACCAGGAGCCTCAGCTGGGCGTGGGGGGGGGAGGGGAGGAAGGATGACAAGCTTTGTGATGAAGGCTTTATGAAAGCAGGGGCTGCAATGAAATGAGAGTCAGATGTAGGGGGCTCTAGGATGGAGCCCAGGGACGGGGAAGGTGAGAAGCGGACGGTGTTTCCACATCCTGCTCTGGGGTGGAGGCAGGGCTGCTCCCCACCTTGCACCCACCTACAGGGGCATCTGCACCCACCTCTTGGCCTCCTGGCCCTTCTTTGGTGGCTCAGAAGGCCGGCTTTGAGCCAAGGATGAAAACTGGCAACCCCTGGGGGAACAGAAGGGACAGAGTGTGCCCAGCAATTAGGAGTGCGTGTAACTTGGTGGAGCGAATAGGGAGGGCAGCAGAGTGTTGTGGGGGGGGGGGAATGAATGAAAGCCATCCAGCTTTTCAGGAGCAAGAGAAATTGCCATGGCAACTGCTAAGCCAGAGATGCCTTTCCAACTCTCCCTGACCCCCTCCCTTTCTTTCTCCCTCTTACACCCAAAGCCCCGGAGTCCTCACAGGTGCAAGGCTGCCCAGCAAGGGTTTGCCCTCCAGATGAAGCACGCCAGTGCTGCCGAAGACGCAATCCGAGCCTGATGTGGCCCTGATTCCTGTTGCGCAGGAGAGAGTCCTCCCAGCGGGCACCCGGATGAGCAGGGCTGCTTAATACTTGCGGAGGCACCATGGCAGGTGGCCAAGGCTCTTCGGTGCTAAGTGGTCTCTTCCTGGTGGCAGAGGAGCCATTTTCCTCCACCTTAACCCCTCTCTTCTGGGGAGGACTGGCCAAGGGTCAGATGCTGGCTCCCCAGGAAAATATCTAGCCATATTGTGCTTCTAAAACCCTCCGGAGGTGTCTGAAAGGCAGAGATTGGACTTGAGATGGGAAGAAAAGCCGTTGATCTTGCTGGTTTCCTTCAAATGTGATTTATCCCTTTAATATCCAAGGCGAATGGTGTCTTTCTGGAGGAAAACAACTCAGAAAAACTAATTGAACATTATACACAGACTGGCAAGCATTTTGCCCTCTTCCCGTTGCCATGCCACCTGTGAACTCACATTTCACTACAATAGAAACTTCCAAAGGCGCATTGACAGAAGTGGATCCAATCCCCGTGCTGAAAATTAATGCTCTCTCCAAGCCCCTCTGTGCTTGGCGGAGTGTCTGCCGTGAGCAGAGGTTCCTCTCTCGCTTAGATGCAGGCTGACACCTTTGATCCTTTTCTGCGAAGCAGTAATTTAATTTGTGACACAATGTGGCTGTTAAACAAGCTGGCCTTTAACCCCAGCCTTCTCCTTTCGGGCTTCTTCTCCAAACTGCCTCTCTTCGACACAGAGAGGAGAGACTTGCCAAGGTCTGCAGTTGGAGCGCCAAATATTTCCAAATATTGACTCTTTTTCTAGAAAAGTCAGCTGAGCGAGGGACAGGTTTCCTAAGGATCACTCCAAACAAGAGTCCTGTTGCTGCACCCTCAAAAATTAACCGATGGCTTGACCAAAAATGTCTAACGCCAAGGCCAGCTGACCAATGCAAACCAGGAAGGGTGGAAGTTTTGAAGGCCCCATGAGGATGCAAAGTCCAACAGATGATGGCAGGATGTTCTTCACCCCACTTCTGTTCCTCTTCCTTTCAAACTAGGGGCCAAGGGACCAGAGCCCTTGATCCTCAAGCTTGGAGAGGGCCTCTCCCAGTGCTCTGGGAAGGTCCCTCCTCCTGGAGGGGCTGAATGGGAAAATGTCCATCAGGAGCACAAAGGACTGTGGCCCAATTTGGAATGAAGCAACTTTTTAGTTCTCCCACTTCTGGAAATGCCAGCTACGGACCTCCACTCCAGGCCACCTGCCAGCCAACCCGCAGTTGCCGGTTGCTCCCCAAAGGGAGGGGGCCCACCTGCTCAGACCAGCTGGAGGCCAGGTCTTAGGGATGCCCTGCTTCCCCAACAAAAAAGCTGCCCCCTCCTCCTCCACACACCCCACCCCGAATGCCTCCCCAGCAGATGTGGACCGTCTGGGTCTGCAGCTCCAGCCTCCTGGCCCGACTGGCCAGTTCAGCATCCCTGTTGGCTGGTCCTTTCCTATTCTTTTGTCTTATGTTCCTGGTTTTAAAGAAAGTGCAGCTGTTTCTCACATGTTCGGCAAGAGCCCCACCAAAAGATGCAGTCCCCTCCCCCACTCCCGGAAATGGAATGGAATGTCCGGTGGGGGGGCGCTGGGGGGGGAGGAATATCGAGGGACGCGGGAACAAAGGCGAGGCGAAGCATGGGGAGCCGTGCCATGCCTGAACAATGGCCTTTTTGTTCACTTCCCCGGCGCCCAGATCCTGAGACAATGAGAGGGGACGGGCTGATCCAGGCTGACACCCAGAGACAGATGCCATTCAGGGCGCGGGGAGGACGGCTAACCTGTTTTCCACTCCGCCTGGCAGGTGGGGAGGGCAAGCGTGCCTGGCTGCCTCGGGGAAGCCATTTCATGAGGTCCAGCCTTCCTCACTTGCCAGGGAGCAAGTTGTGAGAGGCCAGAAAGAGTCCCCCTCAGCCTTTCGCGGGGAGGCGTGAAACTCCCCCCTCTGGGGGAGAGACGCTGCAGGGCATCATCGGAACAGAGAGGCCACAGGTCGGAAGAGAGTTGCAGGAAGAGAGTTGCAGGCCGCGGCCATGTTTGCCTGCTGGCCTCTAAGAATAGTTTCGGCTGGACAGCGGAAAGTGTCTGAAGCATCGGGGAAGGAAACTGCCCCCCCTCCCCAGGCCTGCTCCGTCGCTTGCAGAACTTGGGCCGAAACGTTCTCTGCTGACCTTTTAAGTCGAGCACAGACAAGGGCGGTCCTGGGAGAGAGGAGAGCAGCCGCTCAATCTGCCATTATGCAGCTCCCCAAATCTGCCCTTCCAGAGATTTGGCTCAGCACTGAGCAAGTAGGTCGCCCGAGAGGAGCTCCTGAGGGGTAATGGGCAGATGGCGGCTGAGGAAGACTAGGGTTCGAATCCTTGCCGAATCCTCTGGCCACTTTCTCTTTCTCTGCTTCTCTCAGAAGATGCTGTGGAGACCGGACAGCCAGGACGTGCTCAAGTGCTGGAGCTGAGCAGAAATCTCCCACTGACCACAGAGGGGGAGGCAGCCGCCAAGTCCATCAGAAGACGGGAAGGTCCCCGCGAGGGCAGGTCAGACCCAGAATGATGGTCCAAAGGACCCGGCTGGAGAAACCAAACCACGGTCACTCTTTACGGAGTTCAGGACGGTCCTTGAAATCCCAGCCCTGCGGAAGGTTAAACTGAGGGGAACTGCAGGAGAGAAGCGGGCAGGATCAGCAGAAGACCCCTCCCCAGGCCGCTCCGGAGCAGGTGGGAGGGCCAGGGGACATCAGTTACCCAGTAAGATGCGTGGAAGTGAACTGTAAAAGGGGCTAAGGACAAAGGGGGCCAAAGTTACCCAACTTCAGTTCCCAGGAGAGGACGGGGCCTGGGGAGCCCATGGAGCACCTGCCCCCTCCCAGCCCAGGCACGCCAGGGGGCAAAGACCAGAGCCAGCACATTCTGCCAGGCAATCCGGCTTCCTCCTCCTCCTCCTCAGGACCCCTCCTTCCGGGTCTTGGCGCTCCCCACCCCTCCCTTGGACAGACCCCTGGGCCCATCCAGGTAGGGGCTTCCCGGTCCCGGGGAAAGAGCGCTGGGCTGGGGCGCTTCCGAGTCTCCTCCTCCCCACGGATCCCCCCTCGCCCCGCTGCTTCTCAGCGGGAATGGGGACTGGTTCCCGCCCGCTTCTGCAGGCGGCCTCCGTCGCATCCTCCACTTTCCCCACGGTGTCCCCTACAAGTGGGGCGATGTGAAAGCAACGCGGCCGCGGCTCTTGGAGAGAGCCCGTCGCCTTCTCTCGCTTCTCCCCGGGCCGGGACCTTCGCCGACGTCCCTGATCCGGAGTCCCGGGCCCCGAGGCGGCTCCCGCAGCCTGAGCACCGGGCGGGCCGGTCCTGGGAAGGCGCGGCGGGCAAAGGGGGGGGGGGCACGACGGCCAGGCTGACCGGCGGCGACTGGAGCGCGGAGCCAAGGGACGGCGCCGGGCAGCGGGCAGGTGGCCGCGCCCCCTTCCCTCCGCCTGGCTCGGCCGGACCGGCTGACTCCGAAAGCCCGCAGGCGAGCCGGCACGCCGCCTGGGGAGGCCGTCCAGAAGGAGCCGGCGCGGGCCAGGAGGGCGGCGGCGGGGCTGGGCAGCAAGGGCTGGGCGGGCGGGCGAGGGGCCAAAGAGGAAGCGGCGGCAGTGATTCACGCGGGCTCCGCGTTTGAGTCACGGTCACGAGGAGGAGGCTGGTCGGCCAGAGGTCTCCGGCCGCGCCTGGCGGCTCCCGGGGCGAGGTAGGAGACGGCGCCTCTGCACCGGTCTCCGGCTCAGCTGTTCTGCCTTGAGGCGCCGCCACCGCCTCTGCCCATGTGCAGAGTGCCCGCGGCCGGCTCCGTGGCCGCCAGCCGGAGCCCGGAAGGGAACGCCAGTTGTTAGCGGCCGGCTGCCACCTGGGCTGTGTGTGTGTGGGGTGGGGAGGGCGCTGGACTTACCCGCGGCAGAGCGACGGCTGGAAAGGCGGAAGGACACGGGCACCGCCGGCCTAGCGGGCGAAGGGCGTCCTGGCTTCGCCTGCCGGGACGGGACGGGCGACCCTCGAGCTGGGCGTCGCGGCTGCCCAGGCGGAGGGCGGAGGGCGGGCGGCTCCGGCTCTCTCCCAGGCTCTTCTCCCGCTCACCCCACCCTTCCTCCTCCTCCTCCTCCTCCTCCTCCCCGCCGAGTGATGTCAGCGGGAGAGGCTGGGCTAGAGGGGGAGAAACTGGCGGCTGGGTAGCTTTTTGTGCCGAGTGCCTGGCTCCGGAGATCGCCTCTGAGAGAGCAGGAAGCGGAGAGGGAGCGGGAAAGAGGGCGCGCGTTCACACGTGACGCCCGAGGAGGAGGAGGAGGAGGAGGAGAAGGCAAAAGAAAGGAGAGCGGGCGGCCGAGGGACGTCCAGCCTGTCCAACGGGGAGGAAGTCGGTGGCTCTTCTCCGCACTTCCCCCTCTCTGTGCCCCTCTTACAACGCGCGGTGCTCCTCGCAGACTGAGGAACGCGGGTACCTCTTGGGCGGCAGCGGTGCTCCGCTTCTCAGCCTGCCACTCCGCTTGGCTTTTCCTCCTTGGGGACGGGGCTTCCCCTCAGCCTGTGCTGGCGTCGCCTGGGGGAAAGCCCCTTCCTCCCCACTGCCCCTGGCTCCCCTGGAGTCCAGGCTGACCTGGGCATGGGCAAGGCCGGGAGGACCCGCCCTACCCGGGCTTGAGAAGCAGAGGGGCCGTGGCGGAGCTTCTGTGCCTGGACCACCTGGCTGGCCCTGAGCTGAACCCCCCTCTGGCAGAAGTGGCAGCCACCTTTTTGAGGCCACGGAGTCTGGACCCTCCCTGTGGCCGAGCGGCCGGCGGCTCTCAGCCGGCCAAGGCAGCCCAACCAGTGGCGACAAATTCCGGCCCCCAAAATGCTTGGCCGATATGGGGCAGAGAGTCAGCGGCCGTCCCTAAAGCTCCCCGGGGGACATTCAGGGGAAAAGCAGGGTGCCCAGAGGGAGCCTCTGGGGGCCTTTTCCACTCTGGGCTGGGGGGGGGGCGTCCGCGGTTCCCCTCCCGCAGCTTCTCTGGCCACTTCCTGCCCTTTCCTGCTCTGCCCGGAATGGAAGAGGAAGCGTCCTCGGAGTGAGACCGAAAAAAGAAGCCCGGAGGTGCTGGGCTCCCCCCGCTGCCCTCCAGCAGGGCCAGGGGGCAATTAAGAGGAGGCTTGAAGAAGCCCCCTTTTACCCTGGAGTTTAGCCACTTCCGGTTGGTAGCCAGGGGGGGGGGAGAGGGGAGAGAAATTGGGTTCACAATAGCATGGTTATTCGTTACTTAACTGTGGAGATTCATTAGTGGTTGTTGATATTGCTTGGGTGGCTGAGCCCATGAGAGGTGGGGAGAGAGGGAGAGAGAGAGAGCAGACTTTGGGGTTAAGGATGGGCACTAGAAGAGCCTTAAAATGCCCCCCCAGCAGTGATGGAGGTGGTGGTCCTCCCGTCTCTTTTTGTGACTTCCTTGGGAAGAGATGGTGGATACGCCAAGGTGACAGTGCCCCAAAGTCTGGAGGAGCTATTGCCAGTTCTGTCACCTGCCTTCACAGCTACACACCCCCTCCCACCCTAAAGGTTCTCCCCATCTTAAAGCACCTCAGAGCAAGTTTAGCCAGAGCCCCCTTCCCGCCCCCGAGAACCTTCTCCGCCTGGTTCCCCCACAGGGAAGGACTCCTCTGCTGCCCGGGTCTCTCCATCTCCCACAACACACGTGCATAAAAAGCTTTTACCAGAGTTGATATTAATAGACCAGCAATGCTCTTTGTGCATTTTTTATGGGGGGGGGAGGAAAAAGCTGGTGGCACTGATGCAAACGTGAGCTTTGCCGAAGGAATTGTTGGGAGCTCTGCCTGCCGCCCTCTGTGACCCCTTTGGGGGGCAAGGGAGGGTCCCTCCAGAGGGACAGGCGTGGCTCCTCTCCTTGGATCAGTTGGAAGATCAGACTTTTCTGGTCAACCAAAAAGGAGCTGCTTATCAATTCCCTTTCAGCCTTGCACCCCCAGTTTTGCACCCTGCTTCCACTAAGCAATATAAAACAACGGATTGTCTATCCACTGTTGGCAGCTGTATGGAGGTAAACTGCCCCTGGCCATGGAGGTTTAACTAGAGGCCGCTAGAGGCGCCACAGATGGGCTAATCCTCTTCCTTGACTCTTCTCCAGGGCAAATCCCTCCCTTCAACTTCTCTCTCTTGGCCTCCTTTCTCCCTTCCCTGAAATGGGAGTAAGCGCAGCACCGTCCCTCCAAGGGCAGCTGAGGCCAGTCCTGGAACGACTGACCGCAGAGCTGGCCGGTTCCTAAGTGCTGCGGGGATGATGGATGGACGGAGCATTTTTTTCCATTGCTAGAGATGCAAACTTGGACGGAAGGCTGCATGTTCTCTTTGATTAGCATATATTATTCATAGAGACCATCAAGAAGCACAAACAGTGCCGGGCTGGGGGGTGGGGTAGCCTTTAATAGGTTGCCCTTGCTTGTTTGGGCTGCCCCCAGAGGCCACCAGCATCCAGCCGTGGGAGCTGCGTGGCCTTTCCATGTTCTCTGGAGGGGAATCGGCGCCCGTTGGCACCCCTCCAGCTGCTCCTTCTTGTGGCTCCCTGGCAGGGTGGGAGGGGTGTAGCATTGCCCCTTTTGGGGTGCACAGTTTCCATGCCAGAGCAACTGAGCTGTTTCTCTTTCCTCCTCCCCAGTTGCAGAATATTCCAGAGTTTCTGATCCAAAAACCTGTTTGCTGAAGAAGGGGCAGGAGGGGGTGGGAAATACCTCACTAGTCCCTTTTATTGTTCCATTTTTTTAATCACTTTGGTTTGATCTGTACAAAGGTGTTGAAAAATATACAAATTGTACATTACGCCCCTCACTGCCTGCTGAGCTGGCTCCCCCCCCTTCACTAAGGAGAGCAGGAAAACAGCCTGAATCTCTTTGCTCCCCCCCCAGCTCCGAAGTTAATTTTCATCTGATTTTTACTGCTGGCGCATCTTTCGCTTCTTCAACTAATTCAACAAAATGACTCAAAATTTCTCTTCCTAAAAAATGGGACTTGAAGAGTTCAGCGAAAGATCGGTTCCCAACACCAAAGAACTAGGACAGCAAAATCCTCTTCCTTGGGTCTCTTTGTGTGAAAGGAGAAGAATCACTCGGGGAACAGTGATTTTGAAGGGATGTTCACTTGCCAATCACTTTTCCTGTTTTTGTTCTTTGCACACGGCTGAATATCTTTGTAAACTAAAGTGCTGCCCTCTAGCGATTTGGGCTTATCTACCTGAAAAGATGAGCGCCTTGTTGCCACGGGAGACTGGAGTGGAGATGTTGCCACCCCAAGGCCTGGATTGTATGGGGGGGGGGCGGGCGTGTTTGTAAAGATTCCGCCTTTTCTGTAGCCCCCAGAGACAGGGGGGCCGTGGTGACCTCCACCGATAAGGGCAGCCTTGCCTGTTAAGGAGCCCCCAAAGCTCAAAACAGGAAGCAAGGAGCGGATGGCAAGGGCCAAGCCTCGGGGTGCATGATGGGAAATTCCTCTAGCCTTCAGGCAGGGCTAGCAGTGCCTCGGCTGATGCTTGCCTCCTTTCTAGGACCAGGAAGGGACTTGGCCGGTGTTGGCACCCTCCCAGGAAAGGTGGCATTCTCCCCTGGCATCCGGCAGATCGAACGGGAGGGCAGACGGAGGAGCCTTTGGAGAGAATCTGGAGAGGGGCGGCTCATCAAGGGCAGGTGGGGGCCCGGAGGGGGCCGTGCCTGGAGGGAGCGTGGTCAGACTGCAGTGAGGGCCTTGGACGTAAATAAGATCAATATAAAAATATTTCCTGGCTAGGGCCGGGGCGTTTTCGTGCAGGCCAAAGGTGCTGCGGTTGGGTCAGCTGTGTGGTGCTGGAGGACAAGATGGGACCTGGGTGGAGCCCCCCCCAGACGGGCCCGCCTTGCACGAAAAATGGGAGGGGCCAGCCCTTAGTCGTCATCGTCATCATCGTCATCGTCGTCGTCATCGTCGTCGTCATCGTCGTCTTCGGTGTTTATCTCTCCTTCCAGCACGTCCTCAATCCAGTCTTCCAGCTCCTCTGCAGAGGGCAGGTCCTCCTCATCGTCCATGTCCAACCAGACACTGTCGGCCTTGGGGGGGGGACATCAGAGAAAAGAGCTGCTGGGGGGGCAGGCTGGCTCCAGCGACCAGGCCTTGAGGGCTTCTGCTCGCTCTGCCCATCACCTCTGCCCCCAAGGCTCAGTCTGGCGGCCCCCACTCCCCACCAGTTGGGAAAGCCCCCAAGGCCCCCTGGCCAGCTTCCCTAAAACTTGGGCCAGCTGCTCTGCACCAAACACTTTGGGAAGCTGTCTGCACCCATCGCCAGGCTGTGCCCGATGGATCCGGCCTCTGAGCCCCAAGGGTTTGACCGTACTCACGTCCGTCACGTTGACGATGCCAATATGAGGCCGGGATAGGTCAATGTCGAAGGTTTTCTCCCAGTATGGGATCAGCTGTGAAGGAAGCAAAGGGGGGGGGAGTGAGCGCCGGGGGGGGAGAGGGAGGGAGGGACTTCCTGGGTTTGGTTGGGATGGCGAGAATGGGGGGGCAGCATTTGGACCGTGGATTACAGGGACGTCCCCCATGATCCCTTCTCCTTTGGGGTTTTGGTTGGTCTGATCTGAAGAGCAGCCCAAACTTTGCAGGGCAGGAGGGAAGGAGAGCGAGGTGCCAGGGGAAAAGGTGCCCAGGAGGTTCCCAGAGTGGCCCCTAAAATCCCCCTCCCCCCATTTTAAAGGGCAGAGTGGACTCTTCACCAGTGGGAATTCCTCGGGATCAATCCAGATGATGCTGAGGTCTGGGTTGTCTGTGTTGTCTTGGGCGACTTCTTTCAGGATCTCCAGGAACTCATAACCATCTGAGGAGAGAGGAGGGAGGCGCGGGGGGGGGGGGATTAAGGGGCTGCCTTTGGCCCCATCAGCCTTCTCGCCTGCAGCTGGAGAAATGGTGGCTGAGAAGGGAATAACTAATGCAGAATAATAGAATTGGAAGGGACCTTGGAGGTCCTCTAGTCCAACCCCCTGCTCAGGCAGGATATTCCTCCTTAGTTCCAGGTTGCTTCTCTCCTCGATTTGTTTCTTGTCCTTGGGGAGTCAACACAGGACGACCCCCCCAATCTAGAGTGACTTACCAGGATCATCTTCCTCTGCGAAGGCCACAATGTGGATGCCATCCATGTCATCTTCCTGGATGGAGGAGAAAGGCAGATTGACTCACCCTGGGCAACTTTATTGCTCTCTTGGCTACTTGTTACTGGCAGACCGCCCCCTCCCGACTCAAGGAGGAGAAGCAAGCAGCAGGACCCCCATTCAACTGCCAGGACATGGGCAGAGCACCCCAAATTCTGCAAACAAGCCAGGGTTCGACTGAGCCCCCCCCCAAAGTTCCCATGGCTTTTAATGAGCCATTGTGGTCAGAGCCGGGCTTTGGCCGGGCACCCACGGACGCCGGCCGGCTGCCCCCTTGCATGAGGTCTGGGCAGGACTGGTCATGGGGGGGAAAGAGGGGGCTTTTCCCAGACAGACCCGCCATGTCTATTGGAGGGTTCAAAGGGGACCAGGTGGTGCCTTTGAATGTATAAAGGTAAACAGGGAAATATATTTATAATTTATTACCTGGCCAGCACATAGTATCTGTGTTCGCCAGAATTGCTGGCTTTGTATTGATTCTTTATTATTCATGGGAAGCCTGTATTGGGTTCCAATTATGGAGGAGGGGGAAGGGGGGCTCTGAGTTCGGGGTTCCACCTTCTGCTAGCTGTGAAGCTCTTGGGGGGGCTTGGGCAAGCTGCCCTCCCTTTGCCTTCAGTGCTTGCGTTGGGGAGGAGCCCCCTCCCTCCCTCCCGCCCACCCCTCTCTTTGTCCTGGCAATTCCTTCTGCTCTGTGCCCGACTCCTGGTTCAAGCCTCTGTGCCTGGAGCCCCATCGTCCCCTGCCCCTCTCCTTCTGTTCACGTGCAAAAGTCAGCAGGGCAGAGCAGCAGAAACTGTCAGCTCAGCTCAGCTCAACTGAGGGAAAGAGGCCACGGTGGCCCCTCCTTCCATCCCCAGAGAGCTTCCTCCTCCCTCCACACTTTTCCCTTTCACGTCCTCGGATCTCTTGGGACTGGAACGGAAAGAACAGGACACAGCTTTTAAGCCAGCCAGCCACCCGCAGCCTGCATGTGAGACCCACTCATAAAAAGCCGCAAGAAAGCCAGTCTTGCAGCAATTGTGCCCAGCTCAACCGCAATCTAGTGAGCAGCTCCGAAAGTCTCCTTTGGGGCCGTTTTAGTCCTTTGTTATTTTTGGCTGCCCTTCCAGAAGGGCCTTGTCCCAGGAGAGACTCTGCTGGTGTCTTCCTGCTTCCTCTTCCCTGGGAGCATGCTTAGGAATGGGGAAGGGGCTCTTCCTGCCTGGCGCCCTCCCCCTTTTCAGGTCTGTGAACATACCCACGTTTCATACATGCTGTCTGGGTGCAGCTTCCTCAGTGTTGGCCTGCAAGAGACAGACAGAGAGGAAAAGAGCAGGGTGAGGGTAGGAGAGCAGCGGAGACCAGGAAGGTCTTTTCAGGCCTGGCAAGGTCAAGACCCTCCCCAGGTGAAGGCTATTTTCTTGGCAGTGGGCCAGGAGAGCTGCTCTCGTCCCCGGGGCCCCGGGCGTTTCTGGGCTGATGTTCACCACCAGCCCCCTCCCATGCAAGGCCCAGGGAGAGAAACCGGCCAAACATTGGGGCCAAATGTGTGCCGTTTCCATGGCAGCCGGAGGAGGAAGAAGAGAAGAACAAGGCAGGGATGCTGCTGCTGATACTGGGAAGACGGCTGCCATGGCAACCGAGGAAGGTCTCCCCATCGCGCCAGGCACAGGGACAGCAAGTTGCTCTAAAGGTCCCCTGCTGCTGGGGAGGCCCCCCTCCCCCGAGGGCAGGGGGCAGCAGGGCTTCACCTCTTGTGCTCTTCCAAGAACTGGACTATTTCCTCCTCGCTGTTCGGCTTGTCCGGGATGGTGACCGGCTTCTCCATAAAGGGCTCGTAGTAGTCAATCTCGTTCAGCTTCAGAGAGAGCTTCTTCGCCACCTGCCAAGACAGAAGAGGGCCGCTTGGATGGGCAGATCTTCCTGGGACTGTGGGGGGGGGGAGAGGAGTTTCCACAGCTGCCTCCTGCCCCAGCACTCCCTGATAAGGCACCGACTTTGACCCCAGAACTCTGGGGAATATTGGGAGTTGAAGTCCACTGGTCTTAAAGCTGCCCCGTCTCTCTCTCTCTCTCTCTCTCATACCTTGCTGTCAAACGTTGCAAAGAAAGGGATGTAAGGGTGGAATTCTTCAGCAGCATCTACATAGGCCTTGAAATCTGGAAGAGAAGGCAAAGGGTGTCCCCTGGGCCTGGAGGCCTGTTTTCCGATGGCCTGAAATGTCTTCATCATTGGCCCTACCCCACCCAGCTTTCCATCTTGGATTTTACGGCCTGGGTGTCCTCCTGGGACCCCCTCCCCCACTGACCCACTCACGCTCAGAGTCCTCGTTCTTGAAGTAGCCGATGAGTTTGGGCTCATCCTCGATACTCTCAAATGCTTCGACCTCATTTTCTCCATCGATAAACTCTATGGGGTCTTCCAGGACCTGCAGGAAAGGTGAGGGTCAGGCTTTGGCTTGCTCTCTGGCCAACTCTGCCTGGCTGACATGGGGGGGGGTGGTTCTGCCAAGAGTCCTGGGTTTTTCTAAGGGAAGGGGGTTTTTTAGAGCAGGCTGGCAGGGGAATTCTGGGAGCTGAAGTCCACACATCTTGGAGGCTGAGGTTGAGAAAGGCTGGTTTAGAGGGTGGCCATCAGCACCCTGGACAGGGCCCGGAAGTCAGCAGCTCTGGACCCCTATTAGTCTCAGGGAGTTCAGAACCAACTGGGGGGGGGGCAGGAGAAGTTACTCCCAGCCACCCTCCCCCCCCAGGATACTGCAGGAACCCTTCCCTGGTGACACAGCTCAAAATGCAAACCCCCTCCTCAGACTGACCCCAGCCGTGCTTCCCACTGGCCTGGGTAACCTTGCAATGAGGCACAACTGACGGGAGGGAGATCTGAGCTGGCTCAGCTGCAGAACCGGGGGAATTTTCAGGCAGGGGTGAGGAGGGATGAGGTCCATAGAAGCCCTTTGAGAGGTGGGAGTGTGCCCAGGGACCACCAGCAGGGTGGGCTGGAAAGATCCTCCTCTTGGGTTCTCTTGCCTTTGCACGGGGGGCTTCTCCCCCTGTAAAGAGGAGAAGGGGGCTGGGAAGACAGTCGCTACTTACGTCAAGGAGAAACTCCACCAAGGTGTCGGCTGAAAATTCCCCATCGTATTCGATGACTTCGTCCTCCTTGAACACGTACACGCTGTCTTCTTCAGCCAGCCCTGCGGGGGAGGCCAAAAGGGGTCACCCAGAGGCTGTCTTTGGACCTTTGAGCATGAAGATTGGCAACCCGGTTCTAACAAAGTGGGCGTCCCGTGCCAGGGTGGACTGTATACCAAGGGTGGGGTCATTTGCTTTCCATCTGGTCCTTTTCGGGCAACTGGGGCTCAGAAGAGCCGACTTCTGCCCTGGGGCAAGTCGTTTAGGCTGTAAGCTTTGGGGGGCACAGACCTACTCACCTAGGGCACCCCAAAAGTCCCTTAGAAGGAAAGGGGCGTTGAAGGAAGCCAGAGCCCGGCAGTTTTCACTGCCCCCTGGTGGCCTCCGAGGTTCGCTCTGCTTCCACCAGCAGAAAAGATTCCTAGGTGGGCCCCAGTCAGAACTCCTTTCCAGCTTGGGCAAGGGGGAAGCCTGCGGTCCTCAGAAGAGGGCCTCTGATTAGCCAAGGAAGGTCTCCATTACCTAATTTTTTGGCCACCGCAGCGTCTTTCTCTGCGTCCACCAGGCCAAACCCGATCCCTTTCTCCTCCAGGACCTGGGCCGCTAACTAGGAGGACGAGCCACAGGCGGCAGAGGCGGAAAGAGAGAGGGAGGGAAGAGAAAGGGAATGAAAACACAGATTTATGGACTTATTAAGCCTTGATATCCCCTGGCTCCCAGCCACCCACATCAGCCTGAAGGGCTGGCTTTCCACTTTCCACTGCGCTTCTCGGCGTTTTTATCCACTGCCAAAGGCGACTGTTCAGTAAAGGCTGCAGGTCGCCTTGTTCCTCCTAAACTTTTCAAAAGCTTTCAGAAAGATGGGCTCCCACCTCTTTTCCCGCTGATTGCTTTAACCTTGAATCACGGCAAGGGAGAACAGCTGCGCTCCGAGCCGGTCAGGGATAAAAGCGGGTGAATTCAGTTGCTCGGAGATGGGGGGACCCAACCCAGCCGCTGATTGCTGGGCTGTTCTTCCTGAGCCCCGTTGAGGGGCTGCCGACTAATTGCCCAAGGAGAGCTGGAGGCCCAGGGCTGCCCTCTGGCACGGAGCGAGGGGCAGGTCTGCTTCCTTCAGGCCCAGAGAGTCTCTGGAGCCACTTTTCTCTTTCGGGTCTTCTCTCAGAATCACTTCAGCTCTGCCCCCTCCCCCCGTCAGAGGGGGTCGATTCTTTCCGGCTCCTGAAATCTGGGTTAGGCCTTTGGTGGGGAAGCAGGTGCCCCCCGGCCATGCATAAATGTACCCCCCGGGCTTCTGGAGACAAAGCAAGGGTCCAGTCCAGTGCGGGTTCGGATCATCAGAGCTGATCTTCTGGGCAACCCCCAGCCGGAGTGGGGAAGCCACTTAAATGTGGCTTCTGGAGAAAGCCAGTATCTCCATCGGACGGATTTCTGGGCCAGGGTCTCTGGGCTGATCCAGCAGGGTCCTGTTTTTGGTTTGTCCATCTTCACACCGTTGCTGCAGACATGAGGACTAGTGGCATGAAAACCCTAGTTTGGGCCACAGTTATTCCCAGCCCTGAGAACACAGTGCAGGGGTACTGCCTGCCCCCTTCTCCTTTTCTCAGCTCTCTCCCTCTTCTGGCCCTCCCCACGCCCTCCCTGAATGCAGCCGGCTCCCTGGGGTCAATTTTTAGGGTGGTCCTGCTTGCAGTCACAGCGCCTCCTTCCCTCCCCCAGGCTGCTCTTGCATTACTGCCCCCTCCCCCCAACATTCCCAAGGAGATGCGCCTGGCCGCCTCTCTCTTCCAGGGGCTCCAATTTTGGAGGTGGCAAATTTAGCCTGGTGACCCCCTGCCTCATTTGATGCCACTTGCCCTGGCAGAGAGAAGTGCCAGTATTGCCTCCTGCCCAGCTGGCTAGAGAACCCGCATTTAAGGGTTCAAGGGAGGGAGCTAAACGGTGCCTTTCAGATGCCTGTCCCACACCCCGAATGCTAGACTGCTGCAATAAGTGATGACAAGACCATCCCTCACCACCTGAAGCCCCTGTGCTCTGCCTCTGCCTCAGGCCAGTCTGATGTGCCCCCCACCCCCTCCTCGCCCCCGGCCCCTACCTCCAGGATCAGCTCCTCCATCTCAAACTGCCTTTGCGAAGCCTTGTCGTCGCCCACCGGCTCGTGGTAGAGCAGCGCCAGCACCTCGTACTTCTTCAGGACGGCCTTGTAGTTCTTCATGTTGACGTCGATGACGCGGTCGATGCCGTCGTACTCGGGGAAATCCAGCCCCTCCTGGCCACGGGCCCCGGGGCCGGCCAAGGCCAGCAGCAGGGCGGCCAAGATCAGGCTGAGCCACTTCATCCTGCCGTGAAGGGGCTCCGGGGTCCTTCCCCAAGGCAAGAAAGAGAGAGAGAGAGACACGGCTGCCCGGGCTTCCCTTCCTGCCTCCCCTCCCTCTCGCGGCTCCTGGTCAGGTGCAGGCCGGGCCGGGCGCTGGCTGGGCTGGCGGCTCTTGGCTGACGCAGGCAGGTGCCAGGGACTGGCCAAGGAGGAGGAGGAGGGCGACGACCACACGGAGGGGCGCGGAGCTCCAAAGGCGGAGGAGCCAAGCTCCAGGCAGCGCATAAAAGACCCTCGGGGGGGGAGGGCTCTGGGGCCGGAGGGCCGTCTTATCCACAGATATTTGGCACCGTCCCCAGCCGGCCCCCTCTTGCTCCTGTCTATATATGTCAATGGGGAGAAGGTAGGGAGCAGGCCGGCCGACGGGGAGTGCCAGCCCCCCAAAAGACCCCCACGGACCCCCTTTGCAGAGGGGCTGCCAGGGGCCAGGCTCCCCCCCCTGCGGTGTGTCCCTCCGGCTTTCTCCCCTCTTCCCCCCCGACCTGCATTGGAGGGCATCTTCTTATCACCATATTAAGGAAGGGGGGCAGAGAAGGAGGCATGTGGGGCAGGGCAAGACGGCGCGGCTAAAAATAAGTGGAGATGACTCGGAGGTAAATCAAGACCAGCTTGTGCGGATGGCAGGGAAATTAGAGAGGGGCGGGGGGGCGGCCTGGACACTGTACGCCAGATGCCTGGGGGGTCTTGAGTTACAGGGGGCAGTTAGGTAAGTGCGTGTGAGCGGGGGGGGGCGCAGGGAGCCGCTCCTTCTCCGCCTTAGCTCTCCCAGGCATCTCTGGCTGGCAGCCTCCGGCCGGCCAGCAGATCCAGACACAGCAGCTGCGCTGGGAGGCTGGCCTGGAGAGCAGCTCCGGCAGAGGCCACCGTGCCCGGGTACCACAGGTGGTGGGCCAGGCCTTCCAGAGGACCAGCACGGCTTCAGATGGGCAGGCTGCCCTCAGGAGAGCTCCTGGCTGGGAAGGAACAGCCTCTGCTCACCACCTGCCAGGGCTCTGCTGGGGGAGAGAGCCTCACTCTGGGCAAAGAGGTCCCCGAGGTCCCCGGCCTCTGGTGGGGAGCCGAGGGGGAGTTGGCCTGCGAGCGAGGCTCCTGCTCTGCCACCTCTCGAGCTGGCGTGGGTGGCCCTGGGCAGCCGCTCTGCCACCTGGGCAGGCAGAGAAACCGAGGCCCTAAAACACAGGCAGGGGCTGCCCCGTTCGTGTGGGCTTCCCGTGGGGTGCACAGGGGCCTGTCTCTGGCAAAGCTGGGCCTCTCCACTAAGAGGCCTCGGGACGTGCCCGGCACGGAGAGCATCCCTCTGCCCTCCCCGGCCCTGACTGAGCCGCCACCTCTAAGTCGGAGAAGCGAGCAGCAGATGCCAAAGAAACCAGATCGGCCCTTCCAGGAGAGAAACGGGGCCGGGCTGTGGCCTTGGGCTCCTCCTGACTGAGCCAGATCGGGGTGGGGGGAGCTGATCTCAGGTTCTGTGCTTCAGTTTAACTTCTGGAGGGTGTCACAGGCCCAGTTTTGGGGGCAGGTCAAAGGCACATGGTGCTCCACCAAGCCTGTGTGTGCTGAGCCGAGGGCAGCTTCCGGGCATCCTGGCTAAGGCTGGAGGGTGGCATCCCTGGTTGGCATCCGAGAGCCCTGGTGGGCTCAGCCTTGCAAAGGCCTCAGCAGCTCGGCCATGGCTCTCCAACTGCAGTAAAGCTCAAGGGAAAGGAAAGGAGGCCACGTAGGGTAACCCCCTCCCCAGTTCAAGAGGAAAGGCGGCTTCTTTGGAGGGGCTTCCCCTCTCCGCACACACCCCAATCAACAGCGCCTTAGTGTCCCCAGGAGCAGGCTATTTCCAAGTGACCTTGAGTTTGGACATTTTTAATCCCAGGTGGACATTGACACCTCCCCCCCCCGGAGAGTGAGCAAAACCCAACCCCCCTCCATCCGGCTGCTGCTTCAGTCCTCCTCCGCTGCTGTCTCCCCCCCCCACTATTTTGGGTTCCCTTGAGTCAGCAGCTCCAGGAGAGGGACTTCTCTGGGAGGGGAGGGGGTTGTGGAGCAGGGGGATTTTCTTCTGCAAGTGTCCTTGGTGTCCTGCCCTGCAGGTGAGCACTTCCGCCTGCCAGAGAGACAACACGCTTGTGCCTGGCTGTGTGTACAAACAGACAGCTGTCACTTGTGATTTAGAGCCTCCTTTGCTCGCTGCCTCTGGGAAGAGGACAGGACCGTTGAGGTGACCTGAAGTCTCCACTCCACATTGCCAGCCGGATGCGGGCAGAGCTGGCACGTCCTTCTCCCTGTGCCATGAAGGGAGGGGGCGTGTCGTCACCGGAGGTGCATTTCAGCTGCAGAACAAATGTGGGCCAGCCTCTCCACCACACTCGGGGGCTGGAAGTCCACCTGTTTCCCCCCCCCCATCCCGTTCAAAGCTGTTGAGGGGCCGGCAGATGTCACTGCCTCTGCTGGGCAGCCTTTGACCGCGCCTCTTCCCCCCTCTACGTCCCTGCAGGGCCAACTCTTCCGGGAAAGATTTCCCTCTCTCTCTTTTGGAGACTTTGCTAGGTGCAAAACCCAGCAATTTCTCTGTGGGTCAGAACAGCAGAGCCAGACCCCCAGAGGCCTGCGGTCCTGCCCCAAGAACCCCCCACCGTATTTACTGTGGCTAAAGGGGAAGATGGTCCAAAATATGAGGGGGGGGGTATCATCACTTGATGGATGTTGAACTTTAATGGGGAGGTGATGCTTTCCAGTGTTCCCAGTTCCCATCACAACATCCAAGGCCGTGGGAAGTCTGGGACCTTCCTGAAATACACCCCCCAAGTTGGGGCACTGCCCCTCTAAAGATCGGGGAGAGGGACCTGCCTGGTGCAGAGAGGCCAGGCTGGGCTTTCGGCTGTCTTTAAGGCAAGCTATGTCCTGGCGGCTATTTTTAGCCCAGTCCGGCCGTCCAGCAGCTGCCGTTATTTTAATCCATGTTTTAATCGGTGCCAAATGCTGCTGGGGCTGAGCTGAAGTCAGCCGGGGCTATTTTGGCCCTTTTGCTGACCCACCACCTTCCCTTTAATCCTGGCTGTTCTTTCCCAGAGGCACCTGGGCCCCAGGACACCTGGGGGGGGCAGAGTGAAAAGACTCGGGGGGGTGAGGATACGTCCCTAACCTCTGCTCTGGGGCGAAAGGCCCTTCTGTGGGGGTCAGCAAAGGGGCCTCCCAAACGTCGCTCCGGAGGGGCCTCTTCTGCTTTGGTCATCCGGAGGCAGAGATGGTTCGGATGGGGCCCCCCAGGCCAGGACGGGGCTGAAGAAGACACCACTCTCACCAGGGGGTCCAACGGGCCCCCAGCTCCACGGCCTCCATCACTTCCCTGGTCCAAACTTTCACTTGCCCCACTTCTGCCCTCTTTTCTCGGGTCTCCCCTTGCCAACCGTGGTGCTGCCTTCTGGGGATCAGACCCCCATTTCTAGACCCCAAGAGTTCTTTCTGAATGAAGCAGCCTGGGGGAAGGAATGGCAGGATTATGTTTATTGCATCTTTCAGCTATAATTGGGCTACAGGCTGTGAGGGGCTGGATCCGAGGGTGGGGTTGCCCCGTTGCTCTCCGGGCTTAATAATAGGTCTCCTTCTCCACCCAACCTGGAAAGAAAGGAAAGCAGCCGGTGAATAGCCGGGGGGGGGGGAGAGATGCCCAGCCCCTGGAGGAAGGTGGGGGAGTCGTGGGGGCGCACTCACCCCCTGGGTAGCGCCGCAGGAGAAGCTTCCGGACCTCGTCATAGATGAAGATGAGGAGGCTGTAGGGGAAGGCGCAGAACCACCAAGTGACCCTGCGAGACGGAGAGAGAGAGAGAGCTGGCACAGAGGACACCGCCTGGCACACAGGGCGCAGGGGCTGGAGACAGGTGGGAAGGAGCCCCCGTGCTTGGGGGGAAGAGTGGCCCCACTCACTTGAGGGGGTACATCCGGAGGGCCACCCCCATCCCAGGGCAGTACGACAGGAAGGCAGCCAGAGCGGTTTCCTCCAGGAGCCCGAAGATCAGGATCTTGTTCCTGGGAGAGAGCAAGAGATGGAGGCTCAGAGGCGCCCCTGGTGGATGATGGCAAAGTGACCTCCATGGGCAGGGGCAGTCTACCTCCGGACTTGAGTTCTGGGAGAGGGCTGTTCTAGTGGCCTTGAGGCCTGGACAAGGATTCCTACAAGCCAAGGAGGAAGGAGGGCTCCCCAAAGGCCATCTAGCCTGCCTCATCGGTGGAAGGTGCCCAGCGCTCACTTCATGCCCTGCTGGAAGACAGAATTCCGGCGTGTCTTGCAAATGATCAGGTCGGCCCACTGCACCACCACGATGCTGGCGAAGAAGGCCGTGTGGCAGGTGAACTCCACCACCTTCCGCTGCTCGTACGTCTGCCGGGAGGGAACACACACCGCCCAGTGGGGACGCTTGGAGAGGCAGACCCCTCCCCGCAAAGGCCCCCTTGTCTGCCTCCAGTGAGACCCTGCAGCCGGAAGCCCCCTTACGTTGCAGGAAGTGGCAGCCAAGGCCAGAGGCCTCCCGACTCACCCACTCCTGGCCGTAGCTGTCCTCGAGGTCATTTTTGGAACGGTCATCCCAGTCCAGGCGGATGCCCAGCAAGCTGGTGGGCAGGAACCCATTCTCAGCCAGGATGACAAAATAGGTGAAGAAGCCCCCCAGGGCCTGGATCATGCCTGGGGAGACACACGGGGGTCCCCTTAGCTCCTTGGCGGAGCCCCCCTCCTCTGACACTGAGCTACGGGCGCCCCTGGCTCACCAATCTGCCCGTAGGCCATGCTGATCAGGCGCTGGTTCACCAGCTTGTCTGTCTTCGGGTTCCTCGGCTGCCTTTTCATGATGTCGCTCTCGGCTGCCTCGTAGGCGAGGGAGATGGCAGGCACCTAAAGAGGAGGAGGAGGAGGAGGAGGAGGAGGAGGAGGAGGAGGAGGAGGAGGAGGAAGAAGAATGCAGTGAATTCTTCAGACGGGAAGTTCAGCTTCAAATCCCTGGAAGGAAGCCGCCCAGACTCACCATGTCGGTGCCCAGGTCAATGCACAGGATGGTGACGGTGCCCAAGGGCAGCGGCATGTTGGCAATGATGAACAAGAGGAAGGGGGTGATCTCGGGGATGTTGCTGGTGAGCGTGTAGGCAATGGATTTCTTCAGGTTGTCAAAGATCAGCCGGCCTGTTGGGGGATGCAACGGAGTGGGACCCTTGCAGGCAATTCCCTGGTGTCCCCCCTTTGGCTCCCATGGGGCACGCACCTTCCTC